GTTCATCATCCCAAAGAAAAATTCTGCATTCATTTTAAAAATAATTCATCATTTTCTCCCTCCTTGTAGCTCCTAACAATCTTTTGTCACTCTCACTCTCTGTAGTTGCCTATTCTTAGTTCATGATATTAAGTGGAATCATACAATAATTGTCCTTTTGTACTTGTCTTACTGCACTAAGTATGTTTTCAAGGCTGGTCTATATTGTAGTTTTTAACAGAATTTCATTCCATCTTCAAGCTGAATAATACTCAACCTGTATTATGCCACACTCCATTTATTCATTCATGTCCAGATGAACACATATGTTTTTGCCACCTTTTGAGTATTGTGAATAAAACTTTGATAAAGTCATGTGCAAGTACCTGTTTCAGTTCTCACTTTCATTTCTTCTGAGTCTATACTTAGGTATGAATTCAGGAGTGGAATTGATAAGTTTTTCTTATGTTCAACTATGGTATATTTCTATACTTATGATGATTGTATGTTTAATTTTTTGAAGAGCTGCTAAATTCTTTGCCATGAAACTGGATCATTCACATTCCCACCAGAGTTCAAATTTTTCTATAACCTTACCAACACCTTTGATTGACTGTGTCAGTTTGGGTAAGAAACACTCAACTAATGGCTTAGCACAGTTGTGAATGTGGAAGACCCACCCTGGAGAGGATTATTGCCAGAATGGTATAAAAAGGAAAGAAAGATGGAAGAATTGCCTCTGTTTCTTATGAGGAGCTCCAGGCTTCTCTTTCTCCTATCCATTGTCTCCTACCTTCCATCACAGACTCTTCAGTCTCCTGATATGGACTCACACCGGACACTTTAGTGAGCTCCAGGCCTTTGACTGGATCCTTCAGATCTCCTGGGTGTAGACAGATCCCTTGTCTCTTCCACACCCAACTCTGGGTGGCCACCATAAGCCAATCTTGTAAATGCTTAAATATTTGAGTATCATGTGTTATGTATTTTCTCTAGTAAATATGGACTGAGAGACCTTTTCTTTTTTTTTTTTTTAAGTAGTCATCCTACTGGGTATGAAGTAGTTTCTTATTATAGTTTTGATTTGCTTTTTTCTAATTCTTAGATATCATTTTCATTTTTTATGCTCTTATAAGGCATTTATGTATCTCTGGAGCAATGTCTATTCAAATCTTTTGTTCATTTTAAAAATTGAGTTATCTTTCCTGTAGTTGAGTTTGTAGTAGTTATTTAGGTATTCTGGATATTTACAATTTGTTGAAGAACTTATTAGCTCTGACAAATTTTTTACTTGGAATTTTTAGGGTTTCCTAGATATAAAATCATGTGATCTGGGAACAGAAAAAAATTTACTTCTCCTTTTCCTACTTTGATGTATTTTGTTTCTTTTCCTTGCCTAATTACTCTGGTTAACACTTCCTGCACCACAATCAGATGAAGTGATGACCCTTAGCTTTCTTGTTTTGTTCCTGATCTTAGGGGAAATGTTGAAGACCACAATGAAGTGGCTCTGAGCAGGATTTAAGGTTAACTAATTGACTTTCTATGTTTATCTGTAAGTCTGTCCCAGGCCTAGGTCTCTTGTCTGGAGATGGACAACAGATTCATGGTAAAGGAACCTCTATGAATCTTTGGTCCTGCCTGAGGCCTGCAGTGGCCTGTGATATCAGAGACACCTCAAAGGGCAAGGTAAGGCTGCAGCTGGCTCAAACCCCAATTAAATAGATAGAGACTGCAGCTGCAGGCATGTCACTCCCACTGTCTCACTCCCCACCATAAATATCACCATGGAGATAAGCAATTCTCCTAAATTGGCATAATTTACTACTTGGAGAAGTCCTTGAAGTGAATCCCAAGGTCCTGCTCAGTGCTCAAGCTTTCCTCAATATTCTCTCTCTTTGTTTGAAAACCTAATAAATATGCCACCCAGAGAAGTTCTTTGTCTCAACCCCCAGAATTTCAAACTCTGCTAGAGGGTTTTAATCCTCCTGGAACCCTAAAATCATATTCTTGTTTCATTTATTTAAGCCTCCACTGTACACTCATTTAGGAGACTGGGGATCTTGGCCAGATCCCCAATAGGGGAAATATTTTATTCTCTTACCATTGAGGATGATGTTAGCTGTGAATTTTCTCCTTTACTGTGTTGAGGAAGTTTCCTTTCATTCTCAGTTCATTAAGTATTTTTTAAAATCATTTTTATCAGGGTATTGGGTCTTACAAAATGTTTCTGCATTAATTAAGATGATCAATATGGTTTTCTCCTTTGGTCTATTAATATGCTGTCTTATATGATTTTATTTTTGAATATTGAACTACGTTTTTCAAGATTGAAATTCTTGGACTTGCTGTGTAATCCTTTTAATATGAGACTGAATTCAGTTTGCTCCCATTTTTTGGGATTTTTTGGCATCTGTATTAGTGGAATGTTGGTGTTTTATATACTTGCACTGTCTTTATTTGGCTTTGATAGCAGTACTGGTGGCCTCATGAAATGAATTAGGAAGTATTCTTGCCTCTTCTGGAGAAATCTGAGGATTTCTGTTTAAATCTTCATAAATGTTTGAAGAAATTCACCAGTATAGCAATGCTGTCCTGGGTTTTTCTTTTTGGGAGGATGTGGATTACAAACTCAGTTTTGCTACTAGTCATAGCATAGGTTATTAAGGTTAACTATTTTATTATGTTTGGTTTTGGAAGATACATATCGCCAAATTTTATTCATTTCATGTAGGTAATCCAGTTTGTTAGCATATAAATGTTCTGAGAATTCTCTTACAATCCTTTTTATTTCTATAAAACAGATATTATTGGCACTACTAGTTTCATTTCTAATTTTAGTAATTCGCATCTTCCCTGTTTATCTTGAGTGTAGTTAAACATTTGTCAATTTAATTGATCTTTTCAAAATGCCAATTTTTGATTCTGCTGATTTTTCTATTCTTTTTTTATTCTCCTTTACCTTCTATTACTTATTTCCTTCCGGTAGTTTTGAGTGAGCTTTCTCTTCTTTTTCTGGATTCTTAAGACACAAAGTTGAGTTTATTGGTTTGAGGTGTTTTCCTTTACCATAGGTGCACCACAGCTGAACTTTCTTGCTTAGATTGCTTTCTGTGTAATCCCTATGTTTTGGTATGTTGTTTTAACTTCCATTTGTCACAAGTGATAGTTTGATAGAGCTCACTGGCTCTTTATGCACCTATGTGGAGTCTATTAAGGAACCTGTCACATTTTCTTTTTCATTCCTGAGGCAGTGTTTTTTACTTCTAATATCGACACCGATCCCTCCTAGATCAGCGTGTCTAGCACATTTTCACTTTGCGCTCTCTTTTAGACTTTCTATTTATTTTTCTTTAGGCAAGACAGGAAGGCTAAGGATACTGGTGGTAGGCTGAGGTCTTTTCCCTTAGCTTGAAAAAGGTTACAGAATAGTCCTGGAGAAGCCCTTCTTTGGGTGAGAGGCCTTTTGTAGGGACAAGGGTGAGGAGTTTCACACTGTAAAGCAGGGTGGGGCTCTTTTTGTGACCCTCACCCCAAAAAGTTGCCAAAACTGTGGGTCCCTTTTACTGTCCAACCACTCCCTCCACACCAAGCAACGACTTGTCAGAGTTTTTAGTTAACTGTTCCCACCAGTTTGCAGCATCTCTAGACTTCGGCACCAGCCACAGATCTCTCTAGGTTTCTGAGAGGGAGGCTGTGCTTACAGATACCAAATCTCTGTGTCAAGCAAAGTCACTGATTTTATTTGTCTAGCTTCTTTCAAAGGATGGGATGATGAATTCAAAAGTCTTCACATGTCGTAATAAAAATCAGCCACTTCCCTTTCAGTGCCAAGATGTATGATATATTTTTGGCACCAAGGAGTCCAGATGTCAACATCAGGACCTCAACAGTAGACAGCGTTCATCACAGGGCCCAAAAGCAGATGGTATGAACCAATTAAAAGCCTGTGGCCAATTAAAAGCATGGTGTGTGTTCTTTTCTAATTCTCACACTTTGAAACACCTTAATAACCTCAAAATCCAGGTGCATCATTAAAGCTAAAATGCCTTTGCCATATAATATTCAAGAATAAACTAGATGGGGTCACTGCAGAGGGACAGAGGACAAATGAATGCTGGGGCCTCAACCTGTTGCTTGCTAAAAGTACAGTTTGTGTTTTCTTCCACTGTATACCACCACTGTCATCACCAGCACCAGTGCTTCCACCACCATGTGTTCCCAGAGCAACTGCAGCGACCTGTCCTTACAAGGCCATGTTATTTGTGTAGGAGGGGGTATTGATGGAATAAATATAACAGGTCCTGTGATCAACTGGCCCCCATTCCTCAAGGCTGAGATGTTTGCATGGAAAAGAAAACACCTTTGAAACTGTGCTTGGGGCCAGTGACAATTCCTGGACATTAGCCCACTGTGGCCACCCTTCATAAAATCTCACTTCTTCTTTGTTAAGAGGCCAGCTGACCTTTTGTGTCTATCAGCCTCCTCTCCTGGATGCAAAGCCTTTCTAATAAAGCTCTGCCTGCATGCTTGCTCACCATCCTTGACAATCTCCCATCAGGCCAGAAGGTCCCAGGTTCAATATCAAAGAGAATCACAGTAGCATGGGCGATGGAAGCAGAATACATTGTTCATTACAAAAATGCATCTTTTTGTTGTTAAGCTAAACTTTTTTCCACTTTTTTAGTGAGAACTTTAATAGAAAATATTCAGGAGAATAAAGGAGTGCAGCACTGTAACAACAAAAATGGGAAATAACTTGAATATCCAATAAATATCTGTTTAGATTTGTTGCTGCCTACTGTATTTTGCCTGCTGTCATTCAAGGGAGAGAGCTGATGCCAAGATGAGTGGGGAAATATGGTAGGAAAAAAGAACTGGAAGGACCTGGGAAGGGCGGGGGGATCCGCAGGAGTGTGGGCTGAATTGGGGGAAAGTGCTGGCTTCACACTGTTTGAATTGCTATGAATATTAGTATGAATAAATTTTGTAACAGAGGGGTGAAAGAGAAAGGATGGCAATTTGTTTTTCACCATTTTTTTACTGTGGCTTTTTCCTTTTTATCTCATGGTTTTTTTTTTTTTCCATTACAGAAAATAAAATGAAACAGAAGACCAGGAGAGGAGAGCAGCATCTCCTGGCATAGTCTGCAGGTTCTTCCCATCCAGTCCAGACGATGCCCTTCTTATTACCAAAGATCTGCCTCCTAGCCAGCCCCATCCCAGTGCAGCTCTGCCTCTCTTACTCACCAGCACTCCTGGCCTCCATAGCAGGTCCAGCTTCCCAGCTTTCTGACCTTGGGCCACTCTGTCACCCTTGCCATGGCCACAGTATGGCCCCAAGGATCTGCTTCTCAAGGTTTCACTTCACATGAAGAACTATTTCTGAGATGGTTAGAAATAACCAGTATTTCTGAAAGCCAGACCGGGCCTCTTCTACCTTAAGTAGGACTGTAGCTCACATCTTTCCATGGCCCTGCTTCCTAGGTACTCCCAGCTTCCAGTGACCCAGGCTTTCCTGTCCAGACCTGACCACCTTGGTTCCTGTCATTTTTGCTCTTGGGTCTGGTTGGGTTCTACTCCATAATCATGAAGCACTGCATTACAAGGAATGTTAAAGACACTGTCCCCTGCTGGGGGAGAGACATTTAGTAGGGTTGGATTTAAATCTCCATTCTGTTTTTCTCCAGGCACAAGGTTCGTGGTCAAGAGGAAATCAGAAAAATGTGCTTCAATACTTCATGCTGTTAACAAGTATTTACTGAGCACTTACTCGGTCAGGTATAATACAGAGCCACAGGTCCATGACTGAGGGAGGGTGCCCTCCCCCTAGGTTCTCAACTTGCTCACAAAAAGACATGTGGCTAGCACTCTAGCAGGTTCAGACTTCTGTGGCCTGAAAAAACGAGGAGGAAGGATCTAAGGGAGGTGTTCACCATGGAAACTCCAGAAGAAGTTCCAGAGCCTGCTGAAGAGCAGGGACCTTGCAGCAGAGGTAAGATTCGAATCCTACCAGCCACACACACTCTTTGTGGCCATGGACTGTCCATATTTTGGTTTCTAGGCCTGAGAAGTGAGGATAAGAAGTGCATTTAGGTTGATGTGGCGAGGGGGCAGCCTGATCTACTTGTAACCTGTTCACATCTAGACTCAGTAATGTGGTTATGATTTTGGGAGGCTAGGAGGTGAGGGTTTTGGGAAAAAAGAATCAGACATGGCTTCACAGAAGAGCTGGTGTTAAGACTCCTCTATATCCCAGGGCTGGAGAGACTGGTGTGGAACCTTGCTGTAACATTTGAATCTAGGATGCATAGCCTGTGTCCTATGTACTGTGGGCCACAGCACTGCCATGAATGATGGCTGCAGGAGAATTTATAGCCTGAAGTCAATGTCAGGCACCATGAGACTGCAGCCCGGCCTGAAATTCCTCCCCTGCCAGAGTTAATGCAACTCCCTCCCCTCTCCTCACTTCCCCTCAGGAGTTCTGGATAAACTGTGACTTCTCTGGTAGTTTGCCAAGGACCTAAGCTCCCCTTTCCCTCTAGAAATAAATTTTACAGGTTCCTGTAACATCCCATCTTTTGCCTTCCATGACAGTGTTCTGGCTGAGGTAGAAACTAATCCTAAAGGAAGGGGATGGGCCATCTGTCCCTGAACCTGCTACCTTGGTGCTGGGCCAGGACACCTGACCTTTCTGAGGATACCAGCTGGCTTCTCTAGTTTTTACAGTTTTACACTTCTGAATATTTGGGTGCTTCTTATCTGTTACAGCTTTGTGAATGTGTGCAGCCCTACTCAAGGTGAATTTTCTTGAAGATGAAATGGGGATGCTAACTGTGGAGAGAGTGGAGTCACTTTTGCTACTTGAAGAAAGAAAGGCAGAACTGGGAAGAAGTAATGGGGTTCTCCCCAGAGAGTGTCCTTCCATCCATGGCCTCAGAGAGTGCAAGTGGAGGAAAACTATCACTTGCACAGGACAATTTGTGACAGAGAACTCTGAAACACCTATCAACAGAGGTGGGCAGGGTCCAGTTAGCCCTGGCAGGGTTGCGGAGTAATGCATGATCCTGGCTGCTTTGAGTCTCTTGCAGAGGTGGAGCTGGTTCTGGACTGGGTTCCCAAGGACTGGGAGAGAGCTCATGGGGTGAGATCAGAAGACCCTTCTGAGCTTACCACATCTGGCTCTTGTGCTGAGCCTTGGACCTCACCCTTCTCATACAATATCAGTCGACAGATTGACTCTCTCAGCCTCTCATTTGCAATATGGACCATTTCTTTTTCATCAGTCTCAGGCCCGAGCTCCTCTCCGACATGTTTCTTAAGGAACAATTTGCAGTTTCAAGCTATCTTTGGCCTTGGGTCAGCTAAAGATACCTCCGCATGGAAATGTCCCACCTCTTACTTGCCTGAGTCCTGCTTCCATTGCCTCCAACACAGCCCTTACATCAAGAGAAAAACATAGATTTTTGGGTCCTAGTATCTTTTGAATATGTCCACAAAGACTTGGTTTATGGTGAGGGTGAGCCTGTGCTATGGATAGTGTTTGGCCATGACTGGCTTGAGGGCCCCCACTTCCAGCTAATCAGGCCAGGGGTCCGTGACAGCATTTTGAGACATTTGTAGAGGAGCCCTTTGCCACTGGCTGTTCAGAGTAAGGCTCAAGGTTTCTGGGGAGTAGCCTCAGGGGCTCCCCTGGGCAGCAGGAGCTAAGGGAGGCCCACAGTCCAGACAACTTCTGTGTGCTGCCTGCTCTGCAGCCTTCGGGCTGAGCTGCAGCTTCAGGTCCTCCATGGAGGCGCAGGCCTTGGCTTCCAGGCTGGTGGGCTCCGCCCTGAGCTGGATCAGGTTCAGGATGAAGTCTGGATGCTTCTGCTCTTGTGAGGTGGCCAAGGAGGGCAGGCAACAGATAGTGACCTCACTAGGGAAGCTACTAGTTTTTTTCTGCTGTAGGAAGTCAGGGCTCCAGGCCTGAGGCTGCCTGAAGAGACCACTGCCTGTGTCCTGCCTTGGAGGCTGGCCATCTGAGCAGATCTGCAGGGCTGCCACATGGGTCAGACAGCCTGCCAGTGCAGGCCCTGCCTCTAGAGTCCTCCCGCCATAACCAGGCCTCCCGGGGCCTTGGCAATGCCTCACATTTCCAGGTGGCCCCGCTGCCTTCTGTGAACTGGGCCAGGCAGGCAGGCTTGTAGCTTTGATTTTCCTAGAAGTATCTGTTGCTGTGGTGGCTGCAGACTCCACAGATAATGAGCCTGCAGAATGGCCATGGGTCTCTTGCTCCATGGGGGGATCCTGGGATCGGGTCATGGTCCCCTTTGCCATTACCCCTGAAATTGTGCTCTCTCTGGCCAGCAGGCTTTGAGTATTCAAGTGTGCCTTCCTGCCAGTTGCTGAACATACTGTGGCTCTGGCTGTATCTGAGGCCTGGTTCCTCTTCCCCTCCAGTTTCTCTTCTTGTCTCCAGGAGCCCTTAGGAAGGCTGACTGGGTCTTCAGGCTCCACAGGGGAAGGGGTGGCAGCAGGTGGAGTGCGGCGGAGCCAGTTGACAATACCCATGGTGATGGCCAATTCTGTGTCACAGAGCTTCAGCAGGCACTCCTTGCCCTTCCAGGAGCTCTTTAGAAAGCCCTGGCTGAGCAGGTCGGGGCTTGGTGCTGGGGCCAGGTTCTCCTCAGCCCCCACATGGAAGCTACACATGGAGAGTGGTGTCCCCAGGGCTGGACCTGACAGACTCCCTGACACACCGAGCTCATCATCCAGGCTTGGGCCAACCGGGCCCTTGCTGGGATCATAGAACAGCTCATACAGGGCATCTCCACTGTAGCTGTCTCGAGGAAAGACAACCGCTGGTGTGGTGGGGCCTGAGGCCTCCTCGAGGCCTGGGGAGAAGGAGTCGTAATAGCCCTCATCACTTGTGGACACGGATTCTGGCTGCTCGCTTTTAGGGGTGCCTGTGTCTATAGAGCTGGCTTGGGATCCACTGGGAGGGCCCCTGTAGGGGAATAGGGGCAGCTTGACCAGCTCAGCCATATCAGGCCTAGGCTGGGCTGTATCTGTCCCCTGGGGCCCTGCTGGCCATGAGCCAAGCAGGGTGTGCTGTTGCTGCTGCACAGAGTGAGTCGTGCTGTCCCAAAACTTAGTGAAACTGGAAACCTCTTTCTGAGCGGGCGATGCTAGCTGCTCCATGCTCCAGGAGGGACCCATGGGAGCCTTGCTCTCTGAGGCCTGAGACATCTGGGTGGGGCTCTTGAGGTTGTCTTTGAGCTCTAGGGATGGCACTGAGCTCTCATCTGCAAAGATCTCTCCGCAGCCTGTGAGTGAGTCAAAGCTCTTGAGGGAGGCCACATCCTCGCATAGGACCTGGCACAGGTCAAGAGAGTCAGGCAGGAGCTCGCTGTCAGATAGGTCCGGGCCCAGGCTGTCCAGCTCCAGGCCCTCTCCCAGGGAGAAGAATGCTTTGCCTTGTTGCCCTGCAACAACCAATGGGTCTCCAGGGGATGAGAGGCTCTTCCCCTTGCCTGCCAGGGCAGCTACGTTCTCAGTCTTGTTTCTGCAGATGTGGAATAGGTTCCGGAAGCACTTCTTGGGCCTTTTCAGGGAAATCCTCTTCTTTGGGATGCTTTTGACCACAGCAGGCACAAAGGGCATCTGGGGCACAAAGTGGCGGTAGTCAATCATGCGTGGGCCACTGGGAGTTCCTGGGAAGCTTGTGCTGCCCACCAGCTGCCCTGTGGTTGTGGTTGCTGTGCCAGCTCCTAGAACACTGTCGTGAGTCTTGCTTTTCCTCACTAGCTTGAAGGTGGCTTCACAAAGGGCTACAGGGCCCCCGTCAGGGTTGGGATGAGCTCCCTTGTTGGGATTCCTGCCATGTCCTTGGGCACTAGGACTGGTCTGGGACCCTTTCTCGCTATGGAGCCTTTGCTGCCCTCCCAGTGAGACTGACCACAGACTTGCATCTTCCTTGACTGGAGCAGTAGCTGCTGAGTCTGAGGGTCTCTCATGGGAAATCTGTAGGCTGGATTTGATGAAAGTCTTTCCCCTCTTCAGCTCCATGCTGCTGGTGCCTGGTGCCTGTGGAGAGAAGCGGGAGGCATCTGCTTCTTAGTATCTGATATTGGGGGACTATGGGCTTCAGAAGACTTTTACCCATCTTTGTTTACACAATTGGTTTAGTAGTCCCAGTAGATTTTCCAAGGAGGTGAGGGAGGGATAACTGGAATAGCCCTACGCCAACCCCACACACTACTCTCACTTTATAGACAGCTGATAGGCACACAGAAGAAATCAAAATGAGAGCTGAATAGGGGCACTGGTGATTGTTCTGTCACTGAGCTTGTGACTCATTCAAACACTCTCTCACTAGTTGGTTTAGACTTCCATCTGCAGGCCAGTTATGCACCAACAGCATCTCAGTTTACCTGCACCAACTTTTTGGAACAATCATTGACTTGCTTAGTGCATGAAGCAGACAATCCAACTCAGTGAGCTGCAGGGGGAGACAGAACTAATGGGAATTGCATTAACCTGCCTCCCAAACCTGAATCACCTAACCATCCCTGGAGGAAGTGGTATACATTGTACTCCAGGACTGTGAGAGGCAAGGCTCAGTCTACAAAGAGGGCCAGTGGACACGATGTACTTTAGTGTCTATTTGGTGCATGCAGAACGTGAAGGTATAGAAAAAAGAGAATCTCATGGTGCAAAGCAGAGAGGCATTGCTGAAGGCAGACTGGGATACACACAACATCATAAGCCAGACAGGCAGGCAGCTGTTACCTGCGCAAACATCACTGATAGACATTGGTGCTGAGACTGCCATACAGAGGTTTCTGATGTCAAGGCTGAGTCCCATGGGAAAGGCACTGGGGTCTACCCTGAGGGTGAGACTTGGGCCAGGTAATACAAAAATTGAGGCAGCTTGGTTATCCTGGCACAACTGGGGGATCTGGCCTTATTCTGAGGTCAGTGAAGCACTGTGGATGCCTGGCTGATGAGTGGGTGGAAGCAGAGACATTAAGATTGGTGCATCTAACTGTTGGGTGTAAAAGGAAAAAGTCCAAACAGACTGAAGATGGGCAGTAAGGCAGATGCCACATTGGTAGTAAAGTTGCAAGATCTTCCTAAGGGGCAAACACTGGGATTTAGTAACCTCAAGAAGTAAAAGAAGCAGGTACTGGAGTGCTCAGATTCATGCCAAGGGAGTGAGACTGGCAGAACCAAGACAAGGAAGGATGACAGGGGCAAAGCAAGGTGGATGGTGGAGTGGGCACACCAGGAGCTGATAGGAAGGGGTGGAGCAAGGCTCTAGTTTTAGGCATGCTGCCCTTGGAGTAACTTTGGAGTCCTCAGGAACCTGAAAGAAGAAAGCCAAAAAGCCTCCTCTGAGAATCTCGCTGATGTGTGCTCACATGGCCTCTCCTTTCATGGCAATGCTGCTTCCTGCCACTTTTCCTTTGCCCCTTACCTAATTAGTAAGTGCTCTGAGGCCTGCCCTGTGTCAACCTAGCCAAGGGGAGACTGGAAGAAAGAGAATGTGACTGTTTCCTTTGGGTCTGCAGGAGGACTACTCTGTGGGCAGCCCCTGCATTCACTGACCAGCTCCTGGGAGAGGGCCTATAGCGGATGAAAGTCATGTGGCATGTCAGCCAGTTTTCCTTGTAGACACACCCCTGAGGAAGCCTCACCATTCTTCTAGATAGTTGCTTGATAGGTGCAGGCTGATAGGGTCAGTGAGAAAGTTCCTGAGATGCCACATAAGGACCCAGGTAGTCAGAAGACCTGCCCTACAGCTAGAGTGGTAAACCTGCCATTTCAGGGGCCTCTGCCTACCCAACCTGTGGGCATCACTTCCTCCCATCCAAGTGGTACCTGGATGGAGGAGGAGACAAGGAGTCAGGGCCATGCCCAAGAGAACTGCAGAATCTGGACTCAGCGCCACCTGTAACTTTGACAGCACCCTGGGTTGTGGGACAGTGCTTTAGGCTATCATATTGGCTCATCTGCCACTACCGAATGGCATGCGTCCAATCATTTCCCAGCCTGCATGCACTTGCAGGCACCTTCAGGTATTGTTCCACCCCAACATGCCTCTGCTGCCTAGATAATGACTGCCCCCAGCACCAATAGGCTGTCCTGCACACAACACAGTCCTTACAGTCTGGGCTTGGTGTCAGACCACCCAGATTTGGGTCATGGTCACATTCCTCTAACTAAGCAGGCAGCTTGCTCCATAATCTTATAAAGGAAAATGCCAAAAACGTCCTCTGAGAAGCTCCCTGACATGTGCCCTCACAGTCTCTTCTTTCATCCTGAACACTGCAATGCTCCCTGTCTGCAACTTTTTAACACCCCATTTTACCAAGAGTAAATTCAGATACAGAAACATCTACAAATTGGCCCATGTCACATAGGTGATAAATGACAGAGCTGGGATTTGAATTTGATAGTCTATGAATTAATAGCCCAAACTGTCTTCTGTGAGAAATCTAAAGATACAGTAATAAATGTGTTCTTGGGATGAACTTAGGAAAGGAAAAGGAAACTGAATATGATAGACAATGAAGGTAATCTTCACAAATTTAGAAAAAATATAATTGAAGGTATAATGTCCATGGAAAGAATTTTGGAGACATTCATTATACTATTTCTATTTCACTTTTTTTGGTGTGTTTTGAATGTCTAAGTTTTCCAAGCACTCTGTATGGGCAGGACAAGCACTGAAGGACAGGACAGTGAACTGGAGACATCAAAACTATGACAATCACGTGTTCTGTAGTCTGCAGTCAGTTTCTACACTCAAACATTATGGATCCTTCCTTTGGAGGTGTGTGTGGATGGTGTGTTGTATGGAGGACCCGCCACCTGGCAGGGGGTAGCCTGAGCAGCCATCCTTCATGTCATTTCTTAGGACAGAACAAGATTCCCATGCATGGTCAGATGCTGGCATTGTCACTTCTTGAGGACAGGGGCCAAATGTACACAGGTTCTCAGTTGCAGAGAATTCTGCTTTGTAGCCCCATGGCTACAGATCTTTCAGGGAAAACTCAGCCCAAAAAGTGGCAGGCCCTTCTCTGCCACATCTCTCCACCAACAGAGAAGCAGTGTGTCCCTCCCTTTCTTGTGTGCAGTGCTCAGCAAACACTGATTATTCATTCTGGTGCTTGTTCTTTCTCCTCAATAAAACTACAAAAGTTTTAAAGCCCAGGACTCTAACTATACTACACTGAGTGTCATGGTTTGGTCTAGGCGTCCTCCCAAAGCCTCAAATGGTCATGGGGGTGGGGCAGACCTTTGGAAGGCAGCTGAGTCTAGCTCTTGTGACTGGTTCATTTTCTAGCACTGGGATTGGCAGTGTGAGTGCTGCCCCTGCCCAGGGGTGGGCAGTCGGCATACCATATAAGAGAGGGAAAGCAGCCTACTTCCCCTTTTGCGCCTTGGGTATCTGCCGCTGCCATGAACAGCTGCCCCTGTGCCACATCACCCTGCCTCAGAGCCAGCTGAGTATGGACTGAAACCTCCAAAAAATTTTAAGCTAAATAAACCTTTTCTTCTTTCATTTTGGGCATCAGATATTTTATCTCAGCAAGAGAGAAAAGTAACCGAAACACTGAGCTATTATTTATTTAGGTGAAATGCTTTCTATTTGAGACACCTTAAACACTCATGTATATTCAAGTTTCATAAATAGGATGCTGGGTCTGGAACTTTTAAGTAACACAGTTTATTTGCCTCATTTTATAAGATGGATCTCTGTGAAAACCACAACCTTGGAATAAGTCTCATATTTCTAAAATGAACTTGCAAATTCCATGGGCCAGAGACCACACATTGTAGCCATTTAATCAGTTTCATTTCAAGGAGTGATATTTAAACCAAAGCTAGAAGAAAGTAGAGGACAGACAGAAGACGTGGAAAGCCTAATTCAGTCAGAGGGAACGCCCTGAAAACACACTCCAAGGAAAGAGACCATCTAAAGACCTGAAGATGGACCTAGTGACTAGAGTAACAGCCGAATGGAATGAGATCAGTAGACTGACCAGGTCAGTCACACCCAGCCTGAGGTTTCAGAAAGGGCCCCAGCCTTTTTCCTGTGAGCCATAAGGAACCAGCCTTGAAGAGCAAATGAAGCAGTCACTTTTTAACTTTCACAAGTGACTCCAGTTGCAGATGAAATGAAAATCTGGGTCAATGGGGGTGGAAAATGGTGGGTCACAGATCACAGTTTAGAGGAGAGAAGATGGTGACAGAGACATTCAGTTTTGCAATCAACATGACAACTAACTTCAGATCTCCTGTCTAGGCTCTCCTTTTTCCTTTGAGAAGGTCAGGCTGTGCCTTTCTTTTGTTTTTAAACATGGACATGATTGGATGTTTAATTTCATGCAACAAAATATCTCCCCCACCCCTCCCCCCCAAGAAACACACATGCAGCAGAAGTGCTTTAAGACAGGAGATACTTGGCTGGTGGTTTCGGCCTTTGCTGTGCCTTGCCCTGTCCAGCACTTGATGTCTGGTAAAGTCAACAATGAAGTACAAGAAGTGTGCAGGACTAAGAAGCACAGGCCCGGAGAGGAGCTTCCGGGAAGCTGGGCTGGGCAGAGGCTACCGGGCGGGGTTTCGTCTCTGTAGCAGGCTCCCTGCCTTTGGAAGGGTGGAAGGATAGCTCTTGCGGACAGGAAAGATCCTGCGTTCTGAGATGGGGTGGGGGCGGGGTGTAAAACAGAAATAGAATTGAGGATGGAGATTATCCCCCACCCACTCCGCCCCCATGCTGGGGAGACAAAGGGCTTTCTGGGAGCGAAAGTCCTGGCGCATCTCTCTGACATAGCCACAGGGTGCTTTTCACCTGCTAGTCCAAAAAAGACGACCTCCCCCAGGCAGCGCGTCTGAGGTGGGAGGATTCACCCACCCTGCAGCCCAAGTTGGGAGAGTCACCGCCCTTAGACCCTACAACTGCATCATAGCGTTGGCCACCAGCCCAGCCCTGCCTTTTAGACAAGGCAGGAGATCCCCACTTCATCCCTTCCCCCTTCTCCCCCAGATCCACACCCTCAGGAAAGGCACCGACCCAGCGCTCAGGGTCTCGGCGACTTACCCCTGGGCCTCAGCAGTGTCTCAGGGCGCGGCCGCGACCCGGCGGGGTCCGGTGCTCAGAGGAGCAGCGCGGTCAGCACCACGGCCAACGCCCGGCGCGCGAAGGAACCCGGCCGCTCGGCAGCCCGGCTTCGCTCAGCCCGGGCTCCGGCTCCGCAGCGCTCGGGCAGGGGAGGTGTGAGTCGCCGGCGGGGTGGGGCTGCGGGCTGCGTGCGAGCCAGGCCGCCCCCTCGCTTTGTGTGTCTTTGTCCCCACCTCGGTCTGTCCCGCAAGGTTGTGACTTTGCCTCCTCGGGCCCAGGTACCGAGCCCGGTGCGGTCCCAGCTCCAGAGAGCACAGGTGTGGGTCCCTCAGCTGCTGCTGCAGCTCGGGGGCCTGCCCCAGCCAGGGCGTCGCCAAGGACTCTCAGCCGCTCGCAGAAGGGGCGAGCCGCTGTGGGCAGACGAGGCAGCACCTTGTAGACGAGCGTTTCTGGATCTAGTTATATTACTAATGGGGGGAAAGAGGAGCTTTCCCTAGTACTTACCGCGAGGGATCTGCTGGCGCTGTGCCACGCCGCAGGCTGCAGGAGGGGCAGAAATGCTGTGGGCTCCCGCACCGCGGAGCTGGGGACAAGGAGTGGAGTGGGGCAGGGACACATTACGGAGTAATTCGGGAATTCAGAGAGTGGGTGTCGGTGAAGAGCTGAGCCCCATAGGGGCTGGAAACAAAGGTGAGTGCAAGTGTAAGGAGTGGACACCGAGGTCACCAGTATGGTCTTGGGACTCAGGCCCCAAGAAGAGCAGGTTTCCGTGGTCGAGAAGTCCACGTTTTTCCTTGTGTCTGTTTAACAAATCCCTGGACCCAAGATGCTTCTCCCCTTGATGTGGGCTGACATGGTTTGGTTTGACAAGAATCTAGAGACCTGTCCCACTAGAGCCTTCTTCCCCAGACAGGAGGACCCAGCACCCTTGCTTGAGCCACCTTCCTGCATTTCTTAAAGTTGAATCCTCCTCCTACCCAGTAACTGACTCTCTCTCTCTCTCTCTGTCTCTCTCTGTCTGTCTCTCTCTCTCTCTGTCTGTCTCTCTCTCTCTCTCTCTCTCTCTCTCTCTGTCTCTCTCTCTTTCACACACACACACACACACACACACACACACACACACACACACTGTTGTTGGTACTGTCCCGACTTTTCTGGAAGTTCTGGCCATCAGGATTGCCTGCATCATACTGCACGATACCGTGGCACCTAACCTTTCAGAGCTTTCAGTGCAGCCCGGTATGGCTCATGTGCCACAGGTCCAGCACCTCTGTAAGTGGTGTTGAAAGCAAAAGTGGATCCTTGCCTCCTAGCCACAGGCCCAGAATCCAAGGATGGGATTCAGGCCACAGTAGCGTCCTGTTAATTCACAGCATCAGCCTCTTACTGTGATCTCCCTCTTTTGCATTTAAAGACTTCTTTTTTGTTTTATTTTGTTTTTTGGTACCGGGAACCGAACTCATGATCTCATACTTGCCAGGCAGGTACTTACTTCACTGAGCTAAATCCCCAGCATTTAAGGATTTCTTATATCTCTTATAAAATGATGAAGATAATTATGCACTCATCTCCCAATGAATAACAATGCTTTTGTTCTTTCCTGAAATTGTCACCTTTCTGCTATTCTAAGCCATCTGCTTTGTCCTTTCACAGAGTTTTAAAACTCTCTTACTTCTGAATAACAAGAAAATACAATTTAAATGTTTTTCTTTATCAAAAACATGGAATTAGATGTTCTCCAAGGATTCTTGGAATGATCTTTTACATAAACATTTCCCAATTTAAATCTGGAAATGGTGGCACATGCCTAAAATCCCAGCACTCCAGGGAGACTGAGTCATGAAGATCTCAAGTTTAAGCCCAACCTGGACAACTGAGCAAGACACTGTCAGAAAAAGAGACTGAGGTGAGGGATCTGGGAATGTAGCTTAGTACAAACACTATGGGTTCATTTCCAATACTAATAAATAAATAAATATTCCCCATGCAGATATTATAGAATGATTTTTCTGAAATATCAAATGTAAACTGTTATTTTCACAATACATTGACAGCTTTCTCATCTCTGTTTTGAGTCATAGCTGTTAACAATTTTCTTTTCTGGCACTGGCTTCATCATGCTTTCTGGCCACAGCCCTCCCTTTCTTCATGGACTCAAAGGACTTCCCTTGATTGCAAGCAAAGTAGTTTGCTGCTGGCTGGGTGAGCTCACTGTGGATCCAGGCTTGTGACTGTGTGTAGCCCCTCATCTGATGTAACTTGACGGTAAGGAGATAGGGTTTCAAACCTCTGAGGGAGGCCGGCAGGATGGCCGCTCTTCCGGTGGACAAAGAACTCCTTAGTGGGAGGGGAATCTTGGCTCAGGATTGGGACTTCTGAGTGCCCTCACCAGTGTTGAGGGTCATGGACACAGATGGACAAAGTGACACTGCTGTGAGTGATTCTTTGTCTTTATCAGTTTTCTGAATCTTTAAAATTTATATTGTTTAAATAATGAATAATTTGTTTTTTTCTTTTTTGTGGTGAAATATAAATGAGAAAATTTACCATTTTAACTGCATAATTCAATGCCATTAAGCAGGTTCACAGTGTTGCAAAACATTATTACATTTTAACAAAACATATTTGTCTTTCTCACTTCTGAGACAAAATACCTAAAACCCAAGGTTAAAAGAAGAAAAGTTTACTTAGCTTTTAGTTTGTAGAAGTTTCAGTCCATAATGGGCTGGATCTGAGGCACAGTGGCATGGCAGAGGGGCAACCATTTATAGCAGTGGAAGACAGCAAAATCAATGCAAGAGGAGAGAAGACCAAGGCTCTTTCAGTTCTTATACTGTCTGCAGCCTCCTTGCCCTAGAGTGGATATAACACACACCCTTACTCCCAGCATTAGACCGTGAAGCAGTCACCAGTCATACAGTCAGCTGGCTCCAAAAGCCTGCTCCACATGACTGCATGAGGCTTTAGAGGGACATCCAGACAAAAACCTTAACATTCTACTCCTAGATCCCCAAAAGATTCATGTGCATTCCTTTATTCAAAAGGCATAGAGTCCATCTCCAAGAGTATCCAAAGTTTAACAGTGTAAGCATGACTAAAATGTCCAAGTTTCAGGTCTCTTCTGACATGTAAGGCAAACTGTTAGCTGTGAGCCCCTGTACAAGTGAAAAGAAATTTAAACACTTCCAACATTCAGTGGTACAAAATAACATTTCCATTCCAAAAGGAGCAAAACAAGGAATGGTACAAAACAAGTGCAAATTTCAGCAGGGCAAACATTAAGTCCTATAGCTCCATGTACAGCATTCAAGGCAATCTGTGACAAGATGTGAACTTCAAAGGGCTTGAGTGGCTCTGCCCCAAGGGCAATTCTGGTGGTTATATCTCCCATGGCTTCTCTCTTAGGCCCACTTTGCTCCATCCTTGCAGGTTTCCTTAGATGATCCATGTTCCTGGATTCTCAAAACTTCTAGGATTTATATGCACCTTTAGCTTCACACTAACAGCTTTACACATTGCTCTCTCAGGGGCATACTACCTGAAATCTGAATGGAAGTCTTCCAAAACCCACAGCTCTTCATTCTGCACGCACCTAAAACTTTTAGCACCACTTGAATGATGCCAAGGTCTGCTGCTAGCTGGAGCAATAGCCAAACTTCCCTCTACAGACAAGAGTCTGTAGTAGTCAAGTTCCTGGATCACTGAACACTCTGGATCTAATTCTGAGGAACAAATTCTCTGTGCTCTTACCATTGGGGAACATGGTTTGCTCTTCACCATTCTGTAACAAAAAGGCTCTGAGGTTTTCTTCACAAAGCAAACTCTTTCACTTTTGAAATTTTGAGACTGGTAGAAGTGGGGTCTGGTGCTTCCATGATACTTTCAGGTCACCTTTTCTATTCTGTTCCTTCTCAGCAACCAATATTTCCTCAGCTCTATCTTTGTAATTCGCAGATTTACGGGAGCTTCCTACCTGGCCAAACTCACAACAGCTTTAAATCATCCTACTAGGCTCTTTGCTCTTTATTCTCAATATAAATCTAGCTAAGAGCCTGAAACAGTAGCCATGCCACCACCTCAACATTCAACTGCCTTGAAATTTCTTCTGCCAGATTAGTCCACTGCCCTTAATCTCGGTCTCAGGCAAAGTCTCTGGAGATGAGCAAATTGCAAGATTTCTTACAAGCCATAACACATATCGGAGTCCAACAGCCAATGCAGTCCTGCTTCACAGCAGAAACTTTGTAAGCCTAATCTTTACTAAATTCCTGGCCTCTGAGCTCTGACAAGCATTGCCTATGCAGCACAATCTCAGGTGTTCCAGCTCTATTTTTCAGCTGGTATTTCCAAAACTTTTACTGTTCCCTTTTCCACAAGCCATTTGCAAAGGCTTTTGAGCCACATAGCCATGAAATGTCACAATGACTCCACTCCTGGTACCGAATTCTGTTTTATTTAGTTGTTTTTTTTTTTTTTTTTTTTTTTTTTTTTGTTAGTGAGATGAAATATCTGACACACAAAGTTAAAGAAGGAAAGTTTATTTTTCTCAGTTTGTAGAGGTTTCAGTCCATAATTGGCTGGCTTAAGGCACGGTGGCATGGCAGATGGGCAACTGTTCATGATGGTGGAAGATATTGAAAGCAATGAGAAAGGAAGGAAGAATGATCCTCTTTCCATCTCTTACATTGTATGCAGGCTACCTGCCCTAGAGTGAGTATAGCAGTCACACCCATATTTCCAGCATTTGACCAAGAATCAGTCAAAAACTCTAGATTCAGCCTCTTCCAAAAGTCCACCCCATCCTTTTTAAACATTTTATTCAGTGCCATTGAGCAGATTCACAATGTTGTACAAACATCACTACATTCTTCCAAAATATTTTCATCACTATTCTTCACAGAAACACTGTAACTATTAAGTAATAACTCATTTTCTTTTCTCCTCTATCTACTAGTAACCAGTATTTTTGCTTTCTTCTACAAATTTTATTACTCAAGATGCCTTACATAAATGGAATCATACAATCTTTACTCTCTGATATCTGTCCTGTTTCACCTTGGTCTTCAAGATTCCTTCACAATCAGAATTTCAATCCTTTATAAAGACTGAGTAATCTGCAATTATGTACATATACATGTTGTTTATTAATTTACCTGCCAATGGACATTTAGGTTATTTACAACACTGACTATTGTGAACAATGCTGCTACATACATTGGTGTACCTACAGCTATCTGTTCAGGTTCCTACTTTTGGTTCCTTGGGATTTATACTTAGAAATGCAGTTGACATTCTGTTTAATATTATGAGGCACTGTCATATTTCTTTTTCATAGTGGCTGGACCATTTACAGTCCCATCAACAATGCCCTTGGGCCAATTTTTCTACGTTGTGGTTAACTTTTATTTTTTTTTTAATAGTAGCCATTGCAATGGGTGTGAAGTGTTTTTTTTTTTTTTTTTTTTACTTTGGTTTAGAT